CTCTTCCCAGGGACTGTTCTCCCCCTGTGCCCAGCCGGGCTCCCCAGATCTGATTGAAGAGACTGAGCCAGCATTTCATCTACCAGTATTGGCCAGTTTGCAGGGTAGCGCTGTCCCAGATCTAGTGATACCCTCCCCCACATGGCAGAGATGATGGCATGAAAGAGCATGAATAAAACGGCCAATCACAAAGCAAACATCTGCCTCTTCCTTAATTCTAAAGCCACAGCCAGCACTTCAGGGAGCAGCCCAAGGGAGGGAGCCAGTACAGAAAACCCACCTGGAAGGGAGATGGCATTTCTCTAGCAAGGCTGGACTGACATTGTCAACCTTGCACCAGTAAGCAACAAACCCTGACCACAGGACATGCTCCAGGCTGGGACATGGGATCCCAGGCACTTCATGGCAAAGCCCTTGCTGCAGCCACACTGCCCACTGCGGCTTTGACCCACCACAAGCACAGCGCTCCCAGCACTGGGTTTGACGAGCTGTATGTCCCATCCGGGTGATGCTTGGCCCTGCTCACTGGGACAGCAGAGACATATTTTTAAATACCTACAAATATTTATGTGTGTAGGCAAACACACCCAATTTGCAAAGAGATTTCTAACTTTCAGGTGAAAGTTTGTTGCCTGCTGTACTTCTTCAAGTACGTATGCTCTCCACTGCCACAACTGCGAGTCCCAGTCTCCTCCAGCAGCTGCTCAACAGAGGGATTTGAGCTCAGGCACAAGAAACAGGTCTGGACTGACCTTTCCACAGGCTTCATCCCCAGTAACCCCTCTGGGGACATGGTGGTTCCTGCTCCACATGCACCAGTTGCTAAATGTGGGGGAGCTTGGCTGGGAAGCTGTCGGCAAGGGTGCAGAGCACCCAAAATGCAGGGAGGCTTTCTCCAAACACTGCCAGCGACTCCATCCCCACGAGAGGCTGCAATGCAAGTGGAGAAAACAACTCAGCTTCCCTCTGCACCTACACAGCTGTGTCAAAAGTACTAATCAAACATGTTTGCTTGCAAAGCACCTAAATAAACTTCACGAAGTCTTCTCCATGCTCCCCGGAGAGGGCAGGCAGCTGCCTCTCTCCTCTGCCCCACATCTCCTGCCCTCACTACTGGCCCTGGCCAGGGAGGTCTGCCCAGGGAGGCTCCAGGTGACATTTCTGCCTGCAGGGCTTCTAAACAGGCTTTTTCAGTTGTTTTCCCCAAATGTGGCCACAGCTCCAGGAAGGGTATTTCACTGCTCTGAAGGTGCATGGTGCACCTATCCTACATCTCAGGAGGGCGTTACAAATCCAACCTGGCAAGCAGGAACAGTCTCCCGGCACCATCCCAACACTTGCCTGCTTCCTCAGGAGACTCATTCCTCACAGGGCACAGGAGGGTCTTTCCCAAAGATTCCCAAAAGGAGCAGGGTGCCTTCACTCCCATTTCTTAAGGGAAGTCAGGGTCATTTGAAGGAAGCGGGTGCTCCCATCACACAGAGCAATAAATGCCTCACGTGCACCTGTCAGTCTCTGCTGCTTCACTTTAGACCTTGTTTTGCAAGAAGGAAAACCCAACCCCTTCCTTGGAGCCCTCCGTCCCGTCCAGCACAGCCCCAGACACCCCAGCCCAGCCGGAGGAGGATGTGCAGCTGCAGCAGGAGCAGCTGGACAGATACTGCTTTCACCGGGGGCTGCAGAAACTGGTGAAGTGCCCAGGGGCCTGTGGGTGCCCCTCTATGCATCCAAGGAGCCTCTAAGTGCCATTCTGTGCAGCCCAGGGCTCTCCAGGTGCCTTTCGGTGTGCACCTGGGACCTCGAGTGCCTTCCTGTGCAATGCCAGGGCCTGTGATTGCTGCTTGAGAGCAAGGCAAGGCAACGCCAGAGACCTTTCTCTCCAAACCCTAGGTGTTACAACACGGGTACTCAGCAGCCACATTAACACTGGCCTGGCCCCTGGCAAGCTCACAAGAAGACAGCTCATGGAAACGCAGAACACAGCATCCCTCAGTGGTGGATCTGGTTAAGAGCAGGCTCAGAGCCTTTAAACTTGGGGGTTTTTTTCTGGGATCAGCTGGGAATTAAGCATCTGAGTTGTTGTGTTTAAATCTGAACCTTTAAATGTCCCCTCCCTCTTCCGCTGCCCCAGCACTATTCTACACAAAATCCAGTTTTCTTCTGAAGCTTTATTTTAAGGGTAAGTTTTAAATGACTCATTTTGCAAAGGAAAGAATTGTGCTGTCAGGCTCTTTTCCTCCTTTTAATTTCCTGAAAGGTGTTTCTTCTGCATTTGGGAAAAGATCCAGAACAGCTTTGGTGAGCTCACTGAAGGCAACCAGAACACAGTATCGTCGGTCAGCATACGCCTCTTTGCTTCCCACCAGCCTCGAGCTCTGCTGCTGAGCCTGTTCCATAGTTTCCTGACCAGTTAGTGGTTACAACACACATACATACAGCAAGCAGAACCACTCCAACTTTCCATACATCCCTGCTAATCTCTTGTGGTTTTTTAAGCCTTTGGTAATAATTAAATGACTGGGGATAATGACAGGCATAAATTCCAGGAGCGCAAGACCCTGAATCATGTTTTTCTTCTAACCAGCTGGTGTGCCTTAGGATAAAGCAGTGAGACGGGTTTGGATGTGTGAGCTTCATTGCGTATTTCCAAATTCCTTGCTCTTGGCTGCTTGTTTTTTAATCAGATGGGAATTAACTGGCTTCTTAGTGTGGGCATGGGGTGTTGTTTGCTTATTTGGCTGGTTCTGGTAATTGAAAAGCAGTCTTAAGCATTTTGAGCTTAGGCTTCCAGATCTTAGTGCTTTATTTCTAGAGCACCTTCTATCCCATTTTTTCCATTTTTCATGGAAATGAAGCTCCACTGAGCTACCATGAACTATGGTAGCTGTTCTTTTGGCTCGACTCCCAGAAAGCTCACCAGCTTGACCTAATGAGAAACAGCACAAGCTGCTATCTGGGGCAGTGCTGGTATACAGCGTGATTAGCAGGGATGTGGGGAGCTCATGTCAAGTACGTGGCAGCTGATCTGGTATGAATTTCAAACCTCTGTTCTTGAAAGTTGGAAGACAAAGATTAAGGGAGACACTTTCCACAGCAAACAAGACGCCAAAGCTGGGCTGCTTAGGGAAGATCTCTGCTAAAGCTCCTGAGCAGCAAAGGAAACAGAGACCCAGGACAGAAGTGGTTTTGCTCATGCCCCTCTCTGCCAACATTTGGGCAGGACCTGAGGGGGAAAAAATGGCAAATCCACCAGAGATTGAGGAAAAAAATGACAAAAGCAGTGCTGGGATTACATTTAGGAGGGACATTCTCTCCCTGCCTCCTCTCAGAGGACACATTTTACCGTTCTAGCTCTGGAAGAAACCTGCAGGACATCTGATTTACCCAGGCCACTCCTAAGCTTTGGGGAAGCCTTGTCATCCCTAGTTCCAGATCTGGCAAACTGAAGATGCGATGGCCAACGCTGCCAGAAGATTTCACAAGCCAGGTTTTAAGAAGTCCCGACTTACAATTTCTTATAAGCAGGTGACTTTGCAGCTCTGTCCAGCCGCAATTGCACGGAGATACAGGTGCAAGGAAAGGTTAGGGCACGCACACAGAAATTTCCACCCTGCACCTGCTGTAATCTGAGTGTGCCCAAGTGCTTAGATGTTGTGGGGGGAAAGGCAAAGGCTACATAAGGATCCAGATAAGGCCACAGGTGTTCCAGCAATGTCAGGGAAATGGAAAAAGCAGCTTTGAAGCCACCTTTGTGCTGTCAGCCATACACAGGCTGGCCTGCCTGAGGAAGCACCAAGTGCAGCAGTCAGGGCAGACCTGCCAAGGAAAAAGGAGGAACTGGGTGGTTAAAATCAGCAGAGGACAAATGGTTCCCTTGCCTTTGACGGAGTATAGGCCTCCCTCACCTTTTACAGCTGGAGGGGTCTTTCTGAGCTCCTCGCAGGTACCTGGTGACTAAACCCACTAGTGGATGGAGATGCTTTCTGTGCTTTCCTAGGGCAAAGGAAACTAACTCCAAGCAGGGAAAGCAGCTTTCCCTTTCCTTCTCTGCTCTCCTCCATTTGCATTAGGCAGGGAAAAAAGGTCTCTGATAAGAGTTTGTAAAAAAAGAACTATTATCAAGATGACTTTCTTTTTATGTTCAAGTGCAGGTTTTTACAGGACAGAGGTCAACCCAATATCCTCCCAGGGTGTGTATGCTGCAGGTTATTTTAATAAATGCAGACTTGTTGACTTTGCAGTCATAAAAGATTTTCACAAGAAATGTATCCCCTCATCTCCCTTGCTTTTCACTGATAATTTAATTGCCAACTATGTGGAAGGAAAGAGATCTAGTAAGGCCTGCTTAGATTCTGCTTAAATACTTGCTTTAAAAGACATGATTTTTTTTTTCCCCAGCATTACTGATTCTTTTAACTTTCATCTTGAGGGTTGAGGATTATTCAGTGCTCTTCCAGTTCCTGTAATCGAGCGACGGAAAAATCCCAGTGCTTGTTTGAATGTAAGTATGTTAACAGTTGTCTTTTATGAGGGGAAAAGCTTGAGAATGAAGCTCAGTATTCAAAAGGCAAAGGAACAGTATAATTAGATGACAACTTTACGCTGATCAGTGTTAAGGTCCTGTGGGTTGGTAAGACCCTACAGACAGAGTGCTCGCGTTCAGAGCTAGGCCTCGAGGACAGGCTTTTGGACACGGACAGGCAAGCTCTGGAGAAAACAGAAGCATCTCCTCCTCACCCCCAGCAGGGGACACTCCCGCAAGCAACCCAGAGGCGTTGTGGCTGTGCTCAGGGATGTTGCAGTTCAGCCCCAGCCCCTCAGGCTCCTCCTGCACCTTGCCCAAGGCAGCTTCTCGGTGAAGGCTTTTCCACAGAGACGGATCACGCTGCCCCAGACCCACGTTAGCAGCACTCCCTGCCCTCACCAGCCCGTTCGTAATCTCTAGCCAACCAGCAGCTGAGCCGCTGCGTTTACCCCGGACCTGCTGCCTTCGCCCCCAGGGCGGTACGAGGCGACTCTCCACGGGCCACACCACCGCAGCCGCCGTTCGCAGCCCCGGCGGGCGGCAACTCGGCCTTGCTACCGCGTAGCGAGGCCGAAGGTAGGCCTCGGCCGCCGCCGGGGAACAGGCCGGCGGAGCGCGGGAAGGCGGTTGCTACGGCAACGCGGGCGGCGCGGCGCTCTGGCGTCACTTCCGCGGCAGCGGCGCTCCGCCCCCCCGGAGGGGGTGTGTCTTGGGGCGGGACAGCGGGCGGGCATGGCGCTGTCGCGCGCGGAGCGCTGCCTGGCGCTGCTGCTGCGGCTGCTGTCGCGCGCCTG